TAATGCGCTTTACATATCATTTTTTTGAAAATTTCTACGACGAAATATTTCATCATAGCCGGTTAACAAGTTATAGTAAACTGTGGTAATTACTTAGAATAAGAGAGATCCTCACCGACCTCAACGATCTTGAAATACGTTATCAAGGCCATCATTCTGAATAATTTCTTCCTACCCATGTATCCGTCGAATAGCCTTAGTTTGCGAGACTGTTTCTCTTAAATAAAAGAATGACGAAACAATTGTTTTGAAATCGCTGTTATTTCAAATGAATCGATATTATTTTCGCTTGCAATTCGCGGCATTAAAAATAACTGTTCGAAATGAATGATTTCAAACAGTGACTTCTTATTCTCAATTCAAATAAAATTTCCCAAGTTTGTTACAGTTCAACGATCGTACCGTATCCACGTGATTCGCTGCGTCTCGCGAAGGGGGCCGAAAGAAAATTCTTAAAATCTCGTTAGCATAAGTGCTTTTACTCTAACTAGCTGCAGGGGCGGCGCTCGCCGCCTCTTTGTCTTCGGAAACGAGATTGTAATTTAATCTAGTCACGCAGACGAGGTTAATCGGCGATAAATTCTGCATCTCTCATAAAACCAGACGCGCCGGATCGACGATGAAACACCCACGTTAATACGTTCGTAGAAAGGACGTTTCGTGGAAAGTATGGAACAATCATTGAAACTCGCGTATTAGTGATAGCTGTAAATCAATTCAAGATGGCGGAAATACGATGTAAAACGCTTGCAAATCGATTCAGCGATTTATACATACGCGGGCTCGCCATTGTCACTGGCGTCGGGACAACGTCGGGCAGATGCGTGCGTATTCGCATTTGCCTATAAATTGTCAGAATGATCATGTTCTTTGTGTCGTCGATATACTATTAATTTGTGCTTCGTGTCATTGTTTGATTCACATGGATCTCCGAGAACGTTCATTCATTGGCAAATGAACTGATATAATTAGAGATTCTCTTGGGTTCTTATCAAATGTCGTAATTATCATAATAAATGTATTTAATACATCCTGTGCTTGGAGACTTTTTATTAGGTCTATTTATATTTTTATTTCGATTATATATCTATTCAAAATGTTCCACATAAAACCTATCGATCTTCATTATTCTATTTTTACAGGCTGATGTATCAAATAACCTTCGAATGATTCAAATTAAAATACTACTTGTTATACGATGATTTCTTTCACATTGCTTATAATATTGGGTTGGCAACTAAGTAATTGCCGATTTCAGTTATAGATGTCTCTCACTCCCATTTTTATGATATCCGTAAATGTTATATTATAAAATTATTATTATTATTATTATGTTATTTTTTATTATCCGCGATTGTTAGCAACTGGACAAATTGAATGCATCGGTCAAGGAAAAGCCACCAGAATTGGTCAATCGTAAAGGTGTCATTTTCCAGCAGGACAATGCTAGGCCGCACACGTCTTTGTCCACTCGGCAAAAATTGATGGATATTGATTGGGAATTGATGTTACACCCACCATATAGCCCTGATCTCGCGCCATCGGATTACCACTTATTTCGATCCCTGGACAACTCCCTTCGTGGTAAAACTTTTAATGATGACGACGCTGTAAAATCTCTCTTAACTCAGTCTTTTGGCCGAAAAAGATCAGACTTTCTACGAGGGTGGAATTTTCAAGTTGTCAGAGAGATGGCAAAAGGTCATCGAACAAAATGGAAAATACATTACAGATTAAACTTCATTCCAAGTAAGAAAAAATTGTTTATTTCATTGAACAAATCGGCAATTACTTAGTTGCCAACCCAATAATATGGTTCCTGCTCTAAATGGCATTTAGATTTTGCTCGAAACAATTTATCGTCCACACAATAATTTTTGGAGGCAGTGGACTTCGTCGCAGATAATTTTCCACTGTATTTAATGGCATTAATTCGTCAACAAATTTTCGAACACACTTCTCCAACAAAAAAAAAGTCAGAATCGAAAGTCAAAATTCTGCGCTGTTTCACTGCACCACAATATGAGAAAATGTATCTTCTAATTACAAAAAAAAACGCTTCGATATTAACAAAAAAGAAGCAACAGTCGTCGAGATCTATTCAATTATTCCAGGCGTTGTTTTCTCCCAAATTTAATTCAAATAACAATGTCCGTCGGTCTCGTTCGCAGGATTCTCGGCACATTCTCATGAACGCCGGTATTCGCGTTCCATCGAATGCAAAGAAATCTCATCCCGGGGTGGTAAGGAGCAACACCGCGAGCGTTACGCGGCGCCTTTAAATTACTCGTATGAAAGCGAGCCTTAGGATCTCGTTAAACGAGCTCATAAACGTCGCAGCTCATTTCATAGGCAACCCGCGTCCCGGGCGCTCAGTCGTATTAGCAAAGTGGGTTGAATTGACATTGTGACTCGGCAAAGAAAAGTAATAAGGAAGGGAGGGGAAAAAACCGCGCGCGGTCTAACCGGCAAGAACGGAGAAAAAAAGGACAATAACTCTCCCGGCCGGCGAAGGGCCGGGTTTTAACGACGGAGCTGGTTGTGAACGCGAGTTTATGAAAGGCCGGTTTTTCTTCGGGAACTGGAGCGCCGTTTCCACGGCGCAACGGTAACGTTAGTCACGTCCTCGTATCAGAATGAACCGAGAGAACACGTTAACGAACCGCGAGCCGCTTTACGAAACGAGACGTGGAACGACGACGCGACGTTGCGTTCGGCCTGACACAAATGCCACAGCTTGCGTGTCCTTCCACGTGAAAGCGAAAATGACCGTGCTCTACTCGGATCGGGTAACTGTATCTTTTCGGGAGATGGTACCAGCTCAGTCTACAGCCGCAATTTTCGCCGATTTTTCTGCTTTTAAGTGGCTGCAGCATATGTATTTAGGGCTGAAACACGCGTTATCGTGTCGTTCGCGGTCTAATCTCGGTCCGGTCAAATCTCATCGTGTTCATATTGCTGTGTCAGTATCATGCCGTACTTGGACCACTTAAATATACATATATAGTATACATATTGTTGCGAATTACTCCATTTCTCTCGCGTCGCGACATTTTATTTACAATAAAGAATATTAACTATAACACAACTCGATACAATTAAATCTTAGATCTTTTAGAAGTGGGATGTTGCTCGTTCGACGGTCCGATCTCGACTCTTCGATTGTCCGTTGATAACACTCTTCCGTGGCAACCCCTATCTTCTATTATTCTTTAAGAAGTTGTTCACAACAGGGCAGTTTCACATTACAGCGACTTGATTTGGACAAGTCGCCGTAACAATATGGGGACAAATATTTGTGGAAAATGGTATAACCTTTTTAAGATTGGACTAAATGATTTGTATATTTTTTTTAGATGGTAGGACCAGCCTGATAAATAATGATCAAAATTCTTTTTTGATAATTTTGCTGTTAGTTGGAATGACAAGAAAAATTATAAACTCCTTTCTTTTTAATATTTTAATCTGAGCCTATAACGAAAATTTAAGAAACGCGGTTTGTACATCTCGACCATTCTCTACAATATCCCAATCCTTCTATCATCTAAACAAAAATTCAAGTTGTTTAGTCTAGTTTTAAAAAAAAATTGTTCTGTCTTTTTAAAAGGTGTTGACTCAGTTTTGTTTCTCACTGTATAACCAGTATTGTCGCTAATAATAATAGGGATTCGTTTCCTCTCTTGACAATTTTATTGAGTCCCAAGAATTATGTCAGCAGCCTATTGTCTGAAATTTTAAGTGGATTGTGCTCTATCGAACGCACTTTTTTCGTAAATAATGTTTCCGAACGAAAAGTATCATCGATGAAGAAAATGTTGGATAGAAATTAAAGGAACTTCGTATTCATGTCATTATCCTGAAGTAGGTATCTTCATGAGTAAAATTAAATATATACAGAAAAGTTATATAAGTAAATCAGAATCGTGATTATTTTATTACATAATTTTTTATTACAGTGATAGTAATAATCATAACGAAAATTCTTAAATTTCGAAACGCCTGGCTGTATGTATCATAAAATTCATGAAGTTTTTTATTCATTTACATTTGCATGTCAAAAAGTATAAAAATGAATTAATAAGGATAAAAATGCGTACATTAAGACTTTAAAAGACCAATGCAATTGTTGCAGAATCTATGGAATTTTAAACTACGTTGTAATCAACGTCAATAAAATGTGCTAGATTGTATTATAGGTACTTTATTGAAAATATTACACGTACGTTTCGTTAAAATATTACATTTTCTTGAGTCAAGAAAGTTAAAACTTCGTTCTTTCTTAACTGGAAAATCTGTGATAATAAATTGATTCCAGGCTTGCTAACAGAAGTGTTCCGTGACTCCTGAATGGTAGTGTAGGTCCGGATTGTACAAGAATTACTTTTTGTTCCGAGTCGGATCACGTAACATCAGACTCGATTCTATTGTTTTGGGTCAGGTCTATGTGAGCTAGATCTGGACTAGATCTACATTGAGTTAAGAAAGAAACTAGTTTAGGTTTTGCTTAGCAAAATATCAAAGTGGGTTAAGGAGTCATTATAAGAGGAATTAAACCTTTCGTTACGGCTCACTTTATGCTAAAACTAATACTAGATTCCAATGACTATTTCATACATAAAAATTTCATACATAAAATATAACCTATTCTACTTCCCATTGTGATTATTGTTACATTTTTGTTCATAGTCAAAACAAAATTTATAACACTTGAGATAAACTTATTCTAAATACATAAGTTGCAGATTATATCTAGAAAATTTTACGTAATAATATACTTTTATTGCGCTAACGAGATAACCAATTGCCATCAATTTTCAAGTATTACCAATACAATAGTATACCATTGTTGAAAATTAAAATGGAGCTAGGTGCAATTTTTAATTTAATGTGCAGTTTATTAGTCGAAGTTGATTAATATTCAATATTTATTGATATTTGCATGAATTAAGGTTTAACTGTTTATGAATTTGTACGAATTATTGTAAAATTGTTTGTTACAGGCTGGTTCTCCGTTGTCTCAAACAATAGTGGTACCGGAAGTGCCAGAGTGTATAGAAGAGTAGGAGCTTTAGTTCGGGCTGGTGTTCCAGCGTTTCTACTCGCTAAACCTCTCAGAGCTTACACGTTGACGCATTCAAAAATGGGTAAGATATCGAAAGTTTTTAATATAAAATTGTCTTAAATGTTCATTTTCGTGTTAAATTTTCGAGTAATTATTTCAAGAACACGCTATAAGTGTACGCCTGTTAAAGAACAGTTATTTTTCCTGTTGCACAAAGCTGACGCAGTATTTCAAATAGTACAGTTAACATTAATTGCAAAGCACTGTAACCAGAAAAGAATTAATTTTTGCTGTTAATTTTTGCAATAGTGGAGCTGGTTACTGTGGGGTGACCGATTGCTCTGTTTTTGGTTTGATTTCGGGGATAATTAACATTATATTTATCCAATAAGACATGAAATTTTTCTATTTTAAGAATGATAATGATAACGTTTATTCGTTTAACTGAATGAACCCTCTGTTATACGATACAAAAATACAATAACAATCAAACACAGTGCAAACAAAGAGAGAAAAATGGAAAGAGAAATGTTGTAACAAATGGTATGGATATGATATGACATAATAAAGTAAGGTAACAGAAATCTATATTTCTGAAGATAAGTGAAAAGCGTCAGCTGTCATTAAATAATCTAATTTTCATTTAGTACACTAAAAATATATTTCGATTTATCCGACATTTTTGTCTTTAGAAATATTTTCTTGCGTGACAAAAATTAGTTATTTAATCATCTTTTTAATTAAATAAAAATAGATATTCTTGATTATAGTCCTGTGTCGTTTTAGAGGCCAGAACCACTGTAAAATCAATTGAAAAATATTTACTACATTTTAACACATAAACAATGTAATTCTTCTCCCTAAATTTTGCATGTTGATAGGTAAGCTTAATAAAAAATATATATATAAATCATCACTTTATATATAATGAGGACGCAAAAATTGGGACATCTACCCTTTATGCATATGATCTGTGACATAAAGTTCAAAGTATTCTGTTAACTATATAATGTATATAATGTAATACAAAAAAGCTAGTTCATATATAAATGCATTCCAGTTCGTAGCAATAGATCTTAAAAAACTCTCTGTGAGCAAAGGGTTAATTTGATATCGATTAGAGAGAGGAGGAGGAGATTCTTTTCGACGACACGTTGCGCACAATGCCCTGGACGCCATGTACAAGCGTAGAATCGCAGCGAGGATAACATTGTCGGCGGGTACGTCACTCGTCTAGGACGTGACAATGCATCGAAACCGGTGCGTGCACTCACGCATGGCCCGCGGTTCGGATTATTCCCGCGGATAGAGCGACTGGCCGTGACACGAATGTTAATGTGTCTGTTAATGCGACTCCACGGCGCGCTTGTTCGTGCGTTTAAACGTAGGTGAGGGGCACGCAACGTAATAGGCATGCGGACCGGTGAAAGCCGTTGGGATTCTTACGATACACACGGGCGTTATGCCATTATGTGCTATAACGATTATGGTCGCGCGTGAAAGGGTATTCCTATGGGGGTCGCGGTGCTTGTATCTCCCTCTCTCACTCTCGCTCCCCATCGTCATTCTCCATCTCACTCTTCTCCCCTCTCTTCCACCCTTTCCATCCGTCCCCTCTCCCCTTTCCTCCCTTTTTCGCTCTGCTCCTCTCCCCATTTCCCTTCTCCCCCTCCTCTGCGCACCCTCTCGCCCCTTTCTCCCTCACCCCCGCTCGCCCTCTCTCCCTCACCCCCGCTCTCCCTCTCTACCTCTCCCCCTCTATCCCTCTCTCCTTTCTCTCTTTCTCCCTTTCTCCCTCTCTCCTTTCTCCCTCTCTCCCTTTCTCCCTTTCTCCCTCACTCTTCCCTCTCTACTCTCTCCCTCCCTCTCTCTCACCCCTCCTCTCCTCTCGCCCCTCTCTCCCTTTTTCCCTCTGTCCCTATGATTCTCTCTCCCTCTCCCTCACCCCCCTCACCGCTCTCCACTATCTTCCTCCCTCCCTCGCTCTCCCTCCTCTCTTTATTTCCGTCCCTCTGACTTTTTACCTCTTTTCTCTCTCTTTCTCCCTCTCTTTTTCTCTCTATTGACGATACGCGTAATTTCGAATCTTTGATCGCCGGGAGATTCACGCGAGAGACGATATCTGCCGATCGTATTAATTGCTCGGAAATTAGTCTTCAGCCGAGAGCGCACGCGTAAAAATCTATCGCGTGTTCGCGTGCAGCCCGTTTGATACAGTAAACACTTGTTAGTATCGCATGAGGCGAAGGACGCAGCGAGAATGCTGTTACAAGTATTAACCCTTTATACTCTCGAAGCCACTTTAACTCTAAATCCAAAATAATCTCTCCGACCAGCAATATACACGGTGTTTCGCGTGTAATGGACTCGCATCGGCTTGCACTGTAATTCAACGAAGAAATGTGGCCTCGGCATATTTGTGGCGCAACATTAAAGGAGTAGAATGATCATTCAGATCTTTTTGGATCATGTTTGAAACAGAGCCGTTAAAATTACCTAGTTTCGTTTAAAAATACAACGGCGACCGTGTTTTTCTACCGAAAATCAATTTGTTTTTGAATTTAAATAATTACAATTTCTCGTCCGTTAAACACTAATTAACAGACAATTGGAGGGGGCTGAAAAATCGTGCGGACCTATTTGTGACTCACCCTGTGTACACAAAGGTCTTTGCCGCTGTGAATGGACTTTGACCGTGATGCATTATATATACAGGACATAAACGCTCGAAGGGTTAATTATTGATTAACCCTAGAAAGATAACCACATGACAACGTACGTAAAAGATAACCATACGCTTCAGAGGCGCATGCTTTTCTAAGGCGTCAATTTTATACTAACAATGGATATTTATTTAAGTTAATCTAGTCATTTTAAAGGTTTGGCATTATTGTAAAAATAAAATGCATTTATATTATATTTTTTTATATTTTAAGTAATTTTAAACTTAAATCACTAGACCTCTATGAAAAATTAACAAAAATCAACAGTCTTCGCAGGCGCCTCTGCGACGTAGGTTATCTTTCTCGGGTTAATGAACATGCTTCAGATACAAGAAATTTTTGGAAACACGTGTTCTTTAAAATATTTCTTTTGTATTTGCCATCTTATAACCCTAGTATGGCACTGTATGAGCACATGGATAAATTCGCTTGATACCCGCTTTCATATGATATAGAAAGTTAGAAACCGTTCAATTTGAGATATTAAAGGTTAGTTCATTTCTCGAAAAATATTTTAAATATAAAAAATATACACACAAGTATGTTAGTTAGAAAAAGCNAACCATACGCTTCAGAGGCGCATGCTTTTCTAAGGCGTCAATTTTATACTAACAATGGATATTTATTTAAGTTAATCTAGTCATTTTAAAGGTTTGGCATTATTGTAAAAATAAAATGCATTTATATTATATTTTTTTATATTTTAAGTAATTTTAAACTTAAATCACTAGACCTCTATGAAAAATTAACAAAAATCAACAGTCTTCGCAGGCGCCTCTGCGACGTAGGTTATCTTTCTCGGGTTAATGAACATTTCTGTGCGACGTGCATTTCCGAGCGTAACGCGCATTTCTAAGCGCAATGCGCATTTCTGTTGCAGAAAACGGTAATCTAAGGGCACACTACACGAAGACGACAGTCCGGGCAGGAGAAGTTCTGCGACTCGCCGCGGTTTTCCAAGATACGCGGAGGGCGCCAGTATCCAGCGGCATTTCCGGTGTCGCCAGCGGCGTTCCGGAAGGTAAGAGTTCAAGGTCATCGGAACGAGACCAGTATGCGCAGTGCTTGGACTCTCACGGGCACGAGCTGTTCGCGCCGCTTTCCGCGAGAGGTGAATTTTACGCGACTTGCCAGAGCGGAAGCCTCGACACCGGAAGCGACGCCGTATTGTATAGAGTTCATCAGCTAGCCAGAAGAGATCTTCCTCTGAGGGTGAGTGTTGGCGACTACTACCTTCTTCTACAGATTCGATATACTTAATCCTTTCAAAGTCCACAGAATCCCCCCCCCCCTTTATGTAAGAATAAGACGAGGCTTCGGGTGGTTTATCGCTTTACAATCACATATGATTTTGCTTAGGAGATTTCGTTGTAGATGCTTTTAATGAAATGAGCCGTTTATTTTGAAAGTGGCATAAGTCACTTTGTTTTTAAGTCGATATATTTAAGGGTTTGCGTTTTAACACGTTTGAAAATATGGATGCTAATTTTCGAGGATAACTTTCAGGATACTGATATTTTTCTCAGTATAAATAATTTCGTATAAACATTAAAAAATCACCACTTTTCATTACGGTAAAGTGATTTATGCCACTTTCAAAATAATCTGTCTCTAAAAGATCATTCACTTATTCTCCACGTCGAAGCTTTATTACTATCCTTACGTTTAGGATAGCAGTTATTTTTGCAAAATGCCAACGTATCTTGAAGAGATCATTACAAATCAGAACTCTGGGTAATATTTTGCAGACATTAATACGTTCATTACCACCACCTGGTAAACATCACTGCTACGTGATATTAAAATAATTTAGCAAAACGAAATTGAGCTATACATCGAGTCTTTAAAACACAATAATGTAATAAAATTGTATAATAAGGTGTAAAAGTGTAATAAAATTAATTTATCTATTATTATCTGATTACGATGTAAATGACGGTGGTTTGAACGTGTTAAGAATTAAACTAGACATTCTTCATACATTTCTCGAAAACCAAATTAAAAAGATCGCTCGTAACATTTGAGCCGTTTATTTTGAAAGTGGCATAAGTCACTTTGTTTTTAAGTCGATATATTTAAGGGTTTGCGTTTTAACACGTTTAAAAATATGGATGCTAACTTTCGAGAAGATTTACTTCTATTTGTTATCTCAGGATACTGATATTTTTCTCAGTATAAATAATTTCGTATAAACATTAAGAAATCACCACTTATGCTACTTTCAAAATAAACGGCTCAAATGTTGACTATGGGGAAAGAATCTTTATCCAGGGATTTTTTTCTGATAGATTTCAAATTGTTTCGAGCCACTTTCACTCGATAATTCTTCTGGTACTCCGTCAACGGTCGTGGAATGAATTTCTCAATCAGGCAACGCATATACTAATTTCTGGTTAACCCTTTTGCACTCGAGTCGTGACTCTGAGGCACCATTCAAATTTGTTATATCACCTTTTAAGATAATCTTGATATTAACAAAGTTTAGATTTAAAAAATTATTAAGAGTGTAACTGTCGTGCGAGTCCCAAGAGTCAATTTCATATGCATAAAATGCATTTTATCATATAAAATGTAAATATTATAAGTTAGAAAAATGATTTTATATTTACAGTTAACATAGCTTCGAGTGCAAAGGGTTTTAAAATTTCCGAAATAAATAGTTTCTGGAATTCCAAAGTGTTGCTCCACCCTTCGTACTGTGCAACGACGATTCTCTTGAATTAACGCACGATCAACATTTTCGCGTGTTCTAGCCGCAGGAAGCGTGTCTGAACGCGGTAACTAACATATCAAGCGAAAAATAGGTTCAATTACTGTGTAGAGTAACTAACGTATACAGAGCGCAAAATAGATTCAGTTATATCTGCACGGTAAATAAACTGTTGAAGCTGAAAATGAAAAATTAAATAAATATTCACTGGTTTGTTTTTTTATAGTCTAAATACATAATACATACGAAATATATAAACTGTGATATTTTATCTAGAACGATTTATTTTATTGAATATTGATCTCCGTTCGTTCAGTATATTCTTGAACTTCTTGATAAGCTTTGCAGAAAATTTAACGAATTCTTTATAAAAAGATTGAAATAATTTTTGTATTTCACGAAGTTTCGTCTCTTGCAAGTTTAATTTCATCAAATGAATAGCGTATCGAATTTAGATAAAAAAATTTTATGTATCTTATTTGATAAATGTAAAGTTTATTATGCTTGAAAATCAAGTAAAAGCGCAGTAATTGGCTACCCTCACAGTAACTAGCTTCAGTACTCTACATATGTCATATCAAATACATTTTTGCAAATATCTCGGAAACTAAAGCCGAGCGACGACAACTTGTATAGGAAAAAGTTGTCCAGATGTCAACCTTGAGAACATATTTCAATGTAATCATAATAATAATAATAATAATAATAATAATAATAATAATAATAATAATCAAAATGTTTTATATGATAGTATTCTTTGTCGTGTCATGAATAATGTGAAAAATACAAAAAAAAACAAAAACGTGATCGTTTTAAATAAGTATTGCTTATTGAATTGTTAGGTTGCTTTTCCTAAATATTAATAATTAATTAGTCATAGTACCATATTTGATAATTCCACTACACACGAATGAAGTGAAAAGGGCGTCGCTTTGAATAAACATTAATTTATATAGCCGTGGGTATAGTGTTACGAGAGAAAATCATCTTCCTCTGAAAGCAATGAGCGCAATTACGTAAAATTGATCAGGGCAATTATGTTTCACGATATCCCAACGAAGCCAATAAACAATTTACACTTCCAAATTACTAACCAGCCAGATAAAAATCTGATTAATAGGTACGATTAGTTGCTGGACCGTTGCCCATACCTCTACCACGAGATTATAGCGGCCTGATGCAGCTGGAAGCCGCGACCAGGGGGCCCATAGTGTTAGGTTGTGCAGTACCATTGATACCCGAGAGACCCTTACCGAATTCCACGGTCCCAGAACTCCTTGAGTTGGTCGCAACGGGGCCCACAGCACCTCGAGTGAAGAGGGCGCGGCTCGGATGTCCTTCTGAAGCACGGTTGCTGGCATCGCCGAAGATGCAACGGTTACTTTCAGCTTGCAGGTAACAAATCTCTCGATATTTACACGAATAAGAAAATTATTACTTAAAATTCTTTACTGAGATCAAATGAATTACCTACCTAGCTTTATAATCAGACGCGGTGAATTTTATGCGTTCATGGCAAAATTGACCAGGGTGATCTGTTCAATAATTGAATATCTCCCAGTGAATGAAAATCTCCCGTATCATATGAAAAAGTCACCATTGTCATGTCCTTTTCAAATTAAAATGTATATAGTAATTTTATTTATGCATAGTTATAGATGTCTTGCAGGTGTTATTTTGTAAAAATCTATCGATTTCACAAAGTGCGCTCATTCAATTGTCCTTTCACTTATTTTTCGCTGAATCCTGTATTACACTTTCGCGTACGATAATATAATTCATGGGATTATTCAACGATAATTTCAACGAACATACGGCTTTTCATTCACTGCACAGGTCACCGTTGCGATTTAAAATAGCATAAACATTACGAGAATTTAATAATGTCACTTCGCATCTTGTTATTACCAAGTTACAAGTAAAAGTTCCTCTCGACACGTAGAAAATGAAAAAAGAAAACGAACAGCGTACAGTCGTTTCCGTGCACTCTACCTTTCCCTGTAGAAAAATACGTGTACCACTTTTTCGTATCGAATGAATTACTAAAAGAGTTCCTTTAAAAATATATACGAACGCAAACACGCTTGTTTTACAATTATTAACCGGGCAAGCGTTCGAACGCGACGAACAAAAAATGCGAACTATTCAAAGAAGAGAGCGCTGTACCAGCTTCGGCAAAAATTCCTCCCCATGAAAATACGAAAAAAAATCCCAGAAGTCTCCAGACCGGCCACAGCACCGTGACCGTTCGTTTGCATTGCAGAAGAGCCTTGGACCAAAGAGCAACGGAACCTCGCGTGGCGCCGCCGAAGCCTCCATTGAACAACGGGCCCCTGAAAGAGCTGCATCTGAAGGAGATCAAATCGAAGACCGAGGCGAAGCCGATCCTGCAGAGTCTGAAAGAGGGGCTCGAGCATATCAAACGGACGACGATCCGGGACCGGAGCAACACTCGGATGAACAGCGGTAATAACCACAGCTTCCTCGACCGGATCTCGAGGATAGCTCAGGGTGGCAGGAGCAGGAACCCAGCGAAGAAGTCGGCCTCGTTCACGTTCGCCGTTCGGCCGGAAATCGGCATGAGGTCCGAGCGATACGCCAGCTTGGAATCGGAGACGAATCTACTGCAGGCGTCGCCGTCCTCGAGGCAGCAGGTTCAACGATCGGTTTCCACGAGCGTGCTCGAGGTTCAGACGCAGCAGGACCTAGACCCGCCGTACTCTAAGGTCAGGGACAGTTTAACGCCACTGCCATCGACCCCGCCGTCGAAGACAGAGGAAATCTACGCGGAGATCTGCGAGCCGACGATCGCCAGCCTTCCCGAAGAAAAACCGCCACCCGGGGGGAAGAATGGGACCAGAGAGAAGGATAGGGGATACGTGAAGCTGGCGCTGTCCCAGTCGGAGATATCGGACGCGAACGCTGCGGACGATGAAGAAGGAATTTATAACACCGTCTGCTGATCGTGATTCCTCCTGGGCTACAGGAGGTTCGTTATGTTTCCGGGAAACGAACTGCATCGAGGGGAGGGCGAGGGGGAGGAAGGAAGTGGATGGATCAGCCGCGCGCTGATTTCCTAGCGAGGGTTCATCGATCGCGAAACAATTGGAACGTTTTTCACGGACCTTCGGTCGTCTTCGACGTTGGCCAGTGTGCAACCGGTGTTGCTTGTCTTTAGCTGTTATTTGATTGTTCCTTTCGACGGGCGGAGAACGATTACTGGTACGTATCAAGACAATATTGTTGTACATTAAGCGGACATGAGGTGACGTTTAAGTTTCGTCGGGTGTGGTGGTAAATTGTGTAGGAGTTCGTTTAGTATGAAGGATTCGACATTTGGATGTTTAAATACTTGGGTGAGAGAATTATTTGCCGAAGAATTATTTAACCAGTTAGTGGTTTTTCAGGAGTATACTTGTCGCGACGAAATGGATTTTATATTGTGACGAGTATACTCGTCGAAAGCAGCTAACTGGTTAAGTGAATAAATGATATTAATAAATTAAATTTCATAATGAAATTGAGAAATAAAATAATCTTTTTATTTCAACTGAATTCTATATTATAACAGCCGCGCGCGTACGCTGTTCAAAAAGATTGCAACAACTAACTCATTAACAGAATTGTTATATTATACTAAACAACATTATTATGACAGTTTTATAATTTAAAGAGTTTTCCAGAAGAATGAAACTTTTCAGAATTATTCTATACTATTTGATTATTATCTTTTTCTTGCTTTAAATGTGTACGTTCTTTTAGTTAACTCCACAATCAAGTGAACGATAAATGCAAAACATTATAAGTTATGATAATCATTGATCAATTATAAGTTATGATTACGTTGCGAATTTTTTCGATCAATTTGATCAGTCAAGATTTGTTCTTATTTCTAACATTTGAAAAGTTTGAGAATAATTTAACTGCATTGTTCAATATATCCTCTTGCATTTACTGTTTTGTATTCCACATTAATGCATAAAATCCACAGTTTGGTTATAATAATTGTAGTCATGTCGTTTCTATTATGTTTAAAAATTCCATTGGGATTTGTGTATTTTATATTTTTTAACGAATCCTTTTAACGAAACTATTCAAATAAACCAATGAAAAGAAATATAAATAAAATGTTACATGTAAATTAAAAAAAGCATACGTGCGATAATAAGACTCACAGCATTTTTATTAAATATGCTTATTGAATCTTTGTTATATGATTGAACTTTCATACTAAAACTCTAACCTAGACAATTTCCCATTGACGACTCGGAAGCGTAGAGGTGGGTGTGATATATAAGTTTCTATTATCAAGAAGAAAAATATAGAAATTCTATCATCAAATATAGAAAAAAATGGATTCAAATTACCGCAGAAAAATGTATTTTATCTCAATCTAGTAATACATACTATATCCACCTTTACCGATACATTTTAATCGAATTTCTTAAAACTGATACGAAATTACAACAAAATTATTCAGGGAAAATATTTTAAACAAAAAGACAAAAAATTACACATTTTTGTCATCGTTATTACGATGTTAAATTCAGGAAGATGCAGGTTTCAATGTATCCCTGGGAACGTTTCCAATTGTTTCAAGCCGTGTTAACGAGTAATTCATTAAGGTGTCTTGTCTAGTTAACTACCTGAAAAAGGAAGCGATTCTTAGGAATTGTCCCTGGAAAAATAAATAGACATTTTTTAAAATAAACTCTCTTAAAAACTTTCTAGTAATTTTCTTGCTGTAGTTTCTTAAAAAATGAATTTCGTTAATGAGAGTTCTTCTTTTATCTAAATATACTTTTCCCATAGAAAATACTACTATTTTCTCCAAAATCAATTTTTCTAAATGTCCTTCGATCATTTAATTTCATAAATAAAATCACACATCTTCTATTGTACAAAAAAGCAACTTTTATGTTACAGCAAAATAATTACTGCAAGCTGTACAACTTTATACTTTAAACAATATACTGGTTTAAAACAGTAAAGTCTATTAACCCTGGGTCTATGTTGACCCACGGTATAAAAATCGTTATTTAGTATTATTCTCATCAAAGAAACAACTTGATTCGAAAGAAACTTGACACTTTCAATTTAACCTCCCTTCACAATTGGTATTTCAACTTGTCTCACAATGATTTTAAAATGAATTTGGTAAAAGTAAGTATACTGGCTGAATTACCTAAGATTGTCACCTAAAATATCTTCATTGTCTTTCGTGATGCAGTCATTGCTATAGAAGAGATTTTTTTCTAAATTATTGCCGTTCCAAGTGAAACGGCAATTAAGAAAAAAGAAATTTTCTCTTACATATTATCTCGTATCATTAAACACAAGCGTAGATATTATCAATAAAAATGTTAAGTGATTCGCCCTGTATACAAAACTACAAAATACCGGGTTTTGACAATCAAGTACGATCTATACCTGTTTCAACAACGCATAAAAAAAAATCATCCGTATCTCGAGAATGTAACTCAAAACCTACGTCGACGAAAAATTGCCAATAAAATGATAAACGATCCCAAGCATGCTTCGGTCACATTATTGGTTGTAAAGGTACGCAGTCCAATCATCTCCGAAGATATTCGAAAAAGTTTCGTTTTAATACTGTTGACTAGGCATGACCCCTTAACAGTACGGCGACCAATATCGGAACGCATCGAGTCCCCGGCGTTCATTGATGGAGATAACACGCGACTTCCTGGGTCGAACTGGAGAACCGTTCGGGCAGAAACGGCGCGGCGATGCACCAACGGAATTTACAACGCCATTTGCCGAAGAAATTATCCCTCCGAGGTCTTTTTCTCCCCTTTTTCCTAGCTGAGAACGGCGGCGTCCTTCACGGGGTACCGGGCGGAAGATTTACAAGGCTGTTGACCGGGGAAAATGATCGCGTAATTACGGTCCCGTGCGTGTACAGAGGATGTAGCGGGCCTCGCCGGGACGCAGCGTGACTTCCGGTACCGGGAATCTGTGCTGCGGCTGATCGATATTATTAGAACCGGCTGATCGCTTCTATCCGATCACCGACAAAATATGTACAGTAGTCTCTCCATAACTGGAGAAACTTCGAGTCCGCAGAGTTCCAGTTACAGTAGCGCACGGTTAACACGTTCCGTGCAACGTGTGCCGGCCCCGATGGGCACACGTTAAACTTTCCATTTAGGCCGCGCGTGGAACATGTATTTTATAACAAGTTTTTCGGACTGAATATAAATATCAGGTCTACCGGAAAGTTCTGTCCGTTTTTTAATTGAAATAATAACACAATTTTCGTACATTTAATAATATTTATTGTAGAATATACTTTCCATCGTTACTTATGACTTCTTGCCAGCGTGATGGCAACGTGTAAATGCCATTTTTAAAAAAGATGTGTATAAGAGACAGGCTTTGGCGACTCGTCAGAAAATCGCAGAGCTAGGCTGGGAAATTCTGTCGCATCCACCATACTCCCCATACCTAGCACCTGTCTCTTATACACTTCTAGATGTGTATAAGAGACAGGCTTTGGCGACTCGTCAGAAAATCGCAGAGCTAGGCTGGGAAATTCTGTCGCATCCACCATACTCCCCATACCTAGCACCTGTCTCTTATACACTTCTAGATGTGTATAAGAGACAGGCTTTGGCGACTCGTCAGAAAATCGCAGAGCTAGGCTGGGAAATTCTGTCGCATCCACCATACTCCCCATACCTAGCACCTGTCTCTTATACACTTCTAGATGTGTATAAGAGACAGGCTTTGGCGACTCGTCAGAAAATCGCAGAGCTAGGCTGGGAAATTCTGTCGCATCCACCATACTCCCCATACCTAGCACCTGTCTCTTATACACTTCTAGATGTGTATAAGAGACAGGCTTTGGCGACTCGTCAGAAAATCGCAGAGCTAGGCTGGGAAATTCTGTCGCATCCACCATACTCCCCATACCTAGCACCTGTCTCTTATACACTTCTAGATGTGTATAAGAGACAGGCTTTGGCGACTCGTCAGAAAATCGCAGAGCTAGGCTGGGAAATTCTGTCGCATCCACCATACTCCCCATACCTAGCACCTGTCTCTTATACACTTCTAGATGTGTATAAGAGACAGGCTTTGGCGACTCGTCAGAAAATCGCAGAGCTAGGCTGGGAAATTCTGTCGCATCCACCATACTCCCCATACCTAGCACCTGTCTCTTATACACTTCTAGATGTGTATAAGAGACAGGCTTTGGCGACTCGTCAGAAAATCGCAGAGCTAGGCTGGGAAATTCTGTCGCATCCACCATACTCCCCATACCTAGCACCTGTCTCTTATACACTTCTAGATGTGTATAAGAGACAGGCTTTGGCGACTCGTCAGAAAATCGCAGAGCTAGGCTGGGAAATTCTGTCGCATCCACCATACTCCCCATACCTAGCACCTGTCTCTTATACACTTCTAGATGTGTATAAGAGACAGGCTTTGGCGACTCGTCAGAAAATCGCAGAGCTAGGCTGGGAAATTCTGTCGCATCCACCATACTCCCCATACCTAGCACCTGTCTCTTATACACTTCTAGATGTGTATAAGAGACAGGCTTTGGCGACTCGTCAGAAAATCGCAGAGCTAGGCTGGGAAATTCTGTCGCATCCACCATACTCCCCATACCTAGCACCTGTCTCTTATACACTTCTAGATGTGTATAAGAGACAGGCTTTGGCGACTCGTCAGAAAATCGCAGAGCTAGGCTGGGAAATTCTGTCGCATCCACCATACTCCCCATACCTAGCACCTGTCTCTTATACACTTCTAGATGTGTATAAGAGACAGGCTTTGGCGACTCGTCAGAAAATCGCAGAGCTAGGCTGGGAAATTCTGTCGCATCCACCATACTCCCCATACCTAGCACCTGTCTCTTATACACTTCTAGATGTGTATAAGAGACAGGCTTTGGCGACTCGTCAGAAAATCGCAGAGCTAGGCTGGGAAATTCTGTCGCATCCACCATACTCCCCATACCTAGCACCTGTCTCTTATACACTTCTAGATGTGTATAAGAGACAGGCTTTGGCGACTCGTCAGAAAATCGCAGAGCTAGGCTGGGAAATTCTGTCGCATCCACCATACTCCCCATACCTAGCACCTGTCTCTTATACACTTCTAGATGTGTATAAGAGACAGGCTTTGGCGACTCGTCAGAAAATCGCAGAGCTAGGCTGGGAAATTCTGTCGCATCCACCATACTCCCCATACCTAGCACCTGTCTCTTATACACTTCTAGATGTGTATAAGAGACAGGCTTTGGCGACTCGTCAGAAAATCGCAGAGCTAGGCTGGGAAATTCTGTCGCATCCACCATACTCCCCATACCTAGCACCTGTCTCTTATACACTTCTAGATGTGTATAAGAGACAGGCTTTGGCGACTCGTCAGAAAATCGCAGAGCTAGGCTGGGAAATTCTGTCGCATCCACCATACTCCCCATACCTAGCACCTGTCTCTTATACACTTCTAGATGTGTATAAGAGACAGGCTTTGGCGACTCGTCAGAAAATCGCAGAGCTAGGCTGGGAAATTCTGTCGCATCCACCATACTCCCCATACCTAGCACCTGTCTCTTATACACTTCTAGATGTGTATAAGAGACAGGCTTTGGCGACTCGTCAGAAAATCGCAGAGCTAGGCTGGGAAATTCTGTCGCATCCACCATACTCCCCATACCTAGCACCTGTCTCTTATACACTTCTAGATGTGTATAAGAGACAGGTGTTATATTTCAATTAAAAAACGGACAGAACTTTCCGGTAGACCTAATATTTCCACGAAAAGAATGAGGCGTTACGCGAAGATACAGTATAGAACAAAGGGAACGTAGAATAATTAATAATTACATGTAATATGTCAAGTTTTACTTGAAACGTCAAATGGTCTGAATGAAAAGTCGAATCAAAACGGATTGGCGCGGAACGTGTCGGAACGCCGATTTTTGAGCCAGCATATGTAAATTTAGATGTACCGGATACTGTTCCCTTCTAAGAACTAACTTGTGCACGGCTCGACAAGGTAAATGAGATACAGTATTCTCTCCGTAATTGTCCCAATTTCGGGTCCGCCGAGTGACAGTTATGGTAGTGGAACGACATTTTTTCCGGTGAACTGAGGATCGAGACTCTCGGTAGATATCGAACGACGCGTGCGAGCTTAGGCTTTTAAATTAAAAAACCAGTATTCCTTGCTTTTGGTTATTCGACAATGAAACTTATGGCAGCATATTCGTATCGTGTTGCTGATTAAAATAACATCAAACACGGTATAATTACGATTGTAATTACTTGTGTAATAAGTGGACTGTGGATTTTTGATAAGTACAAGTTTTATGTCAAATGAATACTAGTTCAATATAAGTATGTTTCTTCTCTGAATCAAATTAATACTTTGTTTATCGGAAGTTTATCAGTAGACTTTTCGAAGAATAAACCGTGTCTAAGAGGAGATCGATAATTTTCGTTGAAATAATAATTTCAGAAGAACTCGTTACATTACGTTAATCTAAATAATTCATTTAGATTGTAAACAACATTATTGTAGTTTCTGAATAATTTTTTGAGAAACTCTTAACTGTTGATGTTCGTTTTTAAAAAGACTGTTGAGAAAGTGCCGATAGATGAAATGTTAATAAGTTGAAAATAATGTAATAGCTTTTTGAAAGTCTTTAGATGTGTTCCATGTTTCGTATTTGATCTAGTAACACTTACCATAAATGCATACAATTCGCAGTAATTAGTATCAGTAGTAATTAGTAATTAGTTGAATCGCGAAAGTTTAATCGCTTGTTACACAGGTAATTATGATCGCAATTGTATCATGTTTGGCGTTGTTTTGATCAGATGAACGATACGAATAGAGAGTATTTGAGAAAAGTTCGTAAAATAGAATGAAAAATGAGGATGAAAACACACTTTTGCTTCGCTTGCATTGGTGCGAGTGTCACTGACACTCGACACGTCGTTGGTTCGATCGTTGAGCGTGTTTAACGCTTCACTGGTTCCAAGGAGCATCTCCCACTGGTGGGGTTAACGTTTCTTCAGTTACGGTACAGATCTTTTCACCAATTACGGTAGAGATCTATCCGTCAGTTGTGGAGAGAATACTGCGAACGTGAAATTTGCGAGCGTCGATTCGCAACAGACCACGACCCAACGTTTTGTTGCGATGAGAATATATGTAAGGAACTGGTTTTAAGGGAGCGACGAACGTCTAGCTGATATTTTGTGAAGAACAGTTCCTGCATGATCGCGAGGAATTATGTGATTTTTCGATCCGTCCGTAGATGATCGACTTCAACCCCTTCAAACCCACTGTGCTGAATTAAACCGGCGGATCTTGGACGTCTCTGATGTGGGCGAGAGTGAAAAGTAAAATTAAAAAATATTTGTACCTTTTTATCGTACAAGCTTGCGAACGTTGTTGCTTAGAATTGGATGTTTCTTTTATGAATGAAAAAATATACGGACTTGAAGTTACGTTCATTTGGTTAAACATACGTCAGAACGTATTGCTTTTATTAGTATCAATAGATCAATTTTAAAGGGAAAAGATTGGGAAAAATTATTTTATTATAATTAAAAAAATAATTTTGTTTATAATAAAAAAATTCGGGAAACAATTGAAATATCTTGATTAGAAAAATTAATGTTCTTTACCAATATTTACCTACTACTAAAAATAATTGCATTTCAAACATTGTAGGTGCTGAAAATGTGTGTAAAAATATCTGTATGTGTATATGTATAAAAATGTTGTATAAATAAACGAATCCCATATAATAGTTTCCTAATACTTTTGTAATACTGTGAAAGCTCTGTCTGGCCAGTGGAATGAATTGGGGTTTGGAGGGGTTAAACGAAGATTCTTAATTGTAGGCTATCCTAAGGGAGGACAATGATACGTCCACCATTTTGTAAATTTGATGGTAAGCTTAGTGTAACGACTGAAATGTCATCCATGCGTTTTGTACATTTGTTAATACTCTGCGTACTGATTGTGAACGTTCGCAAGAAGAGATTCTTATTGTATAGTTTTTATCTGAAAATACACTGATTTGCAACTAATCAAAATGGCGTTCTATTTACTACTAATGTACCTTTAGCGGAGCAATCTCAATTTGCTAGGAGAAATCTAATATTTAGAAACTGACCTACAGTTTTCTTTTGGCCTAAAAATATGAAATCTTGTTTGTCTAAAAGTTGGGACACAAAAGATTGTATAATTCGTGACAGGCATCCATGTTAAGTAATTTATTATTAATTTATATATT